CTAATTTTTGGGTCAAATATTTATTGAAAACTCGAGGCCAATTTTATATATATATATATATATATATATATATATATGTACGCATTAGCCGACAATAACATATTTCTAAAATCTCATGGTAATCATTATCTTGAATTGGCCAAAGCTTCAAAAGACTCCAAAACAAAAATGTCGAACATTCTAATGCTTTAGCATATTCAATCACATATGTTAAACATTGATCCGTTCTATCAACTATATTTTTCTCTCAAGTGAGGCATATATATATATATATAATATATATATATATATTATATGGCCCTTTATAACCAAATATGTCTCGGGATACTAAACTTAGCTAGAAACTTTTTTTTTTTTAAGTTTTACTTATATTAAAATAAACGGTTAAATGGATACCCGTTTATAACCGAGGGTAATACCCATAACCGTCCATTTAAATTTCACGGATAAATGATTATACCCATAACTGTTTATTTATCTAAACGGTTACCCATAACCGTAACTTTCAAATTTAAATAGGGGAATAACTGTGGTTATCCATAACCAATAGATATTTAGCCATCCCTGCTCTTAAGAGACAGAGATATATACAGTGCTGAAATTGATTAACATGAGAACCCTATCTTATAAAATGAATGTTCGAGATGGAGATTTGTCTCGCAACGTACACATACTAAGCGAGTATGCAATATGCACAAAAGTTGTCGGACCACTTGCGTGAATGGAATACTGTGCATGATGTTCCCTTTTTATTCCTAGGCTTGCAGGCTTCATAGTCATGATTCATGCTAAAACAAAAGTTTGATTGACTGACGGCATATATAGTAGGATTCGCATGTTCGTCAATGGTCTTATGCCATGAAATGATGAGACCATATTGTTCAGATAAATTATAAATGATGGTGAAACAAAGAAAACATCAACTTGTAATGGGGTGGAAGTTGAATTGGAAACTATTATTCTACCATTAAAAGTTCTATTCTGAATTCTAAATTTTCGAAAAAAAATTGCATACATGTACACTATGTTTATATGAGAAAAATAAATTTGAAATTTGAATTAAAGTCGAAATTTCTACTAACATGTACCAAAAAAAATTGAAATTTAGGACCTCCAATTCCCAAGTTTAAATTCCATGTAAATATGTGTCATTTCCTAATTTTTATGATTAAGAGTTTAAAAATAACAAATTTCGTATTCAATTATATTATTCTCTTAGGTTAACCAAAAGAGAAAATTCATAAATTCTAGGAAATAAAATCTCGTTATTTCAATTTCCATCATTTTAAAATTCTGGCTGAACCAATTTTTTTTTATTTTGCCAAACTTGTTATGACAATTTTTTTTCGAAATGTTCCAATATTTGATAGTGATTTGCTAAAATTATGTATCTTTTAAGGAATTTTTCTTTTATATTTTATCACGTTCATTGTCAGTTTTGGACATGTTCTCATATTTGATCACAAATAGTCTATGAAATTACCTCAACTCCTCATTTCCCACAATTTCAAAATCGATCAATGTCTTTGAAATTAACTATCACAAATCAATGTGGTCCTTATGTTAGGTTTCTGTAAAAAAAATATATATATTAGTGTGCCCATGTGACACAAAATTATATATACATCCGTTGAAGAATTTTCACATGTCTTTGATTTTTCTTGCTCGAACCTAACTTTACCACTTCAAATGAGGAGTTGGGTCAATTTTAGAAACCATTTGTTATAAAAATCTATTTTTTTATATTTAATGATACACTTGTACTATTTTATTTTGTCTTATATGTATCTATGCTACAATCATAGACATACTAGGGTACTAAATTTTTTTTAATTAGATGCACTAATATATACCAATTACTAAGAAAGAACATTAAATTGTATATACAAAAAGTTCAAGAATATCCAAAAACTTGTAAAATGTAAGAATTCCAAAATATGTTTTAAAAGTTTCTCATTCCAAATTGGTAATAAATTATTCGAAACTATTTGGAATGGAAAATGAAAACTTTGTTTTTAATTTGATCTATCCAAAAATCAGCCATAGCTGAGACTAGACAGTATGGGTGCGTTTGGTACGTGGGACGGGACGGGACGGAACGGAACGAGACGTTCCGTCCCGCGTTTGGTGCTCTAAAAATGGGTGGAACGGGTTGTTCCACGGGACAGATTTTGGGTGTTTTTGCGTTCCACCTCTCCCCCTGGAACGGGTTTGTTCCACGTCTGTGGAACACAATGTTTTACCATTTTAAGACAAATATACCCCATGTCTTTTTCAAAAATTACACCTTCGTTCCGTCCCGTCCCGTCCCGTTCCGTCCCGTCCCGTCCCGTTCCGTTCCGTCCCGTCCGCGTACCAAACGCACCCTATTAGAATTGATCATCTTAGTTCCGTCCTATAGAATTACCACTTTTGGAGATGGAATATGTTGGATAGTTGTCAAGTTTAACTAATCACCGTTGTTAAGTTCATCAAACATGAAACCTGATAATTAGTTCATTTCAAATGTTCATGTTCTTTCTAGTCCCACCTACTAAATGAGACCATAAATTCTACCGGATAAGGAGAAACTTTGCCCATGGGTTTGAGAAAAGACAATTTAGATCTCATGATGGATGAACACTAAATCTCTCATTTGTTCGTTCAATCAATATATGATGGTGATGACGGTGGTCATGTTAGTGTTCGTAGATATCGATGATTCTACGAGGCCAATTAAACATATATGGATAACATGAAAAAAAAGTGTTCTATGATGGGATTTCATGGGAATGGATGAAGGTGACAAGGCAAACACCAAAAACTTCTCAACAGGGCTCACCACAAGGCAAATTCCTATACTAAGTGGCCAAGTTGAAGAAGCACTTGACCTTACCGAGGCTGAAAAATTGTACCATCTTGTGCAAACTCTCTTTTCTACTTCTTATCGTGGGGCTTTTGAGGTACTAGGGTTATCTAATTGGGTACTTGATTACCTATGCACGTGTGGAATTAAAAATCTCTCTTATAATTCCAGCTAGCAATGGAAGTTTGTACTTTTTTCTGGTACCAGATAGAAGACCACTCATTATCAAAAGGTCAAACCCTAGATTGGAACAAGTGCTACACACCCATGTTTGTAATGCAGTAGTAATGGATGTTGAAAGTTGCCTCACTTGATGGGACTTGCCGACATGCTTTGACAATTTGGCATGTAATTATGCACTGGTGGTAGCATTTGGATATGCAAGCTCCTGAATTTCTAGATGGCTGTCTGATTAGGATAATTTTTATATTAAGAGAAATAAGCGTGTATTTGGACGAAATCAAAATACATAAAATTTTATGTTTTTATGAGAAACAGATGACGTGACTAGATACCTCTATTCAAGTTTTTCTTGCGAATTATAGTATAGAAGAAACCATAAATCTTTCAACATTTTATTTCCTTCACTATCACCATCATATATCTCTCATCCATTTCATAAGAGAGAAACATGAGCCATGCTTCTTCCTCATTCAGTTGGCATGGTCCAAAATGTTTGGAGAAGTACATTTCGTTGCAACGAAAAATGGTACATGTCTGCTAATTCAGGTTGGGTTTGAGTCTGAAATCTAGAAATAGGCTTGTATATGATTTTTTACTGTAAAAAAGCAACAGTGAAATTATGAGATTATGAACAATAGTTTGGGAAGTGGTTTTTTCATTGACTCGATTTTAGCTTCAAATGGATGTTTAAGCCCATCAGTGTGGCTTGCGGGCCAAGAAAAAGTGTGATTTCATTGCATTTTGTTATTGTTAGCGGATTTTTTCAGAGACTGGATCCCCCAAACGAATGTAGTTGCTTTGCAATTACCAGTAATTTTTTCTTGTTGGTTTAGAAGATATCTTTTCAGGACGGAGAAGAAATGGTAAAAGAGAGTAAAGAATGGAAGAAAGGAAAATTCATGAACAATCGATCACCGTCCGAACAGAAAATCCGTACATTGGAAGCTCTAATACATTCCTGTTAGTAAAGATGTTTACAATTCCCTGGTGCACATAACAGAAAGTGTTTCTTGAGTCACCAAGAAACTCAATGAAATTTAACAATTTGTTTGCTAATTACCCTGTTGGTTTGCTAATAACACCAACAGTTATCTAGAAGCATAATATAAATTAGGCTTTTTAGCCAAAATGATCCCTGAGATTTGCATAACACATCACTTTGGTCCTCGATATTGAAAATCAATAGAAATAGTCTCTGAGATTGTCCACCATCTATTATTTTTGTCCTTCCGTTAAAAACTCCGTTAAGTGTCCCGGAGCTCTTGGCTAAAAGTTTAGGCAATTTTTAAAGCTTCGTAACTCAATCGTTTCTTAACTAAATTCGACCCATAATATATCAAAATGAAGATAGGAAAGTGTAGAACAAGATTATACCTATTTGGAAGCCCAATGGTTGCCGGAGATGATCGGAAAATAGCCTGAAAGGTGACTGGTCCGTAAGACAACCGGAAAACTCGCCGAAAACTGGGTAAACTTTAAACGTTCATAACTTCTTCAATACTTAATGAAATCAAGTGATTCAAAAATGAAAATCATACTTCTTGACGAGACAGAGAATGGTACCTTTCTTGACGGCTAAATTGCCATGGTTAGGACGAAAAATGGCTCGAAAATGACTGTCTCAGTCTCCAGTCTCCAGTTAGCCACTTTCGAGCCGTTTTCTAGTCAAACCATGGCAAATTAGCCGTCAAGAAAGATACCATTCTCTTCGTCTCGTTTAGAAATATGATTTTTATTTTTGAATCACTCGAATTCATTGAGTATTGATGAAGTTATAAATGTTTAAAGTTTACCTAGTTTTCAACGAGTTTACCCAGTTTTCCCAAGGACCAGTCACCTTTCAGACTATTTTTCGAACATCTCTGGCAACCATTGGGCTTCCAAATAGGTATAATCTTGTTCTACACTTTTCTATCTTCATTTTGATATATTATGAGTCGAATTTGGTTAAGAAAAGATTGAGTTACGAAGCTTTGAAAATTGCCCAATCTTCCGACCAAGAGCTCCGAGACATTTAACGGAGTTTTTTAACAGAATAACCAAAATAATGAATGGTGGACAATATCAAGAACAATTTCCATTGATTCAATCTCAAGGACTAAAGTAAATTATAGTAGATTCCCAAATTAGAGCCCGGTAATGGTAGGCGCTTTGTTGCAAACTATGGTTGCTGCGGTCGGCGCCCTAAGGAGCATTCGTGTTTGGGTATGATCCTTGTTGAAAGCTCAATTGTTAGGGGCTTTCCTGAGCATTTATTTGGTAGGGACTGTACGAAGCTTTGACTTGATAAGGGCTATGCTGAGGATTGATTCGGTATGGGCTGTCCTAAGGATTGATTCGGTATGGGCTGTGCTGAGGATTGAGTTTGTAGGGGCCATGCTGAGGATTGATTTGGTAGGCGCTGGGCTGAGGATTCATCTCGTGGTAGGAGACTTGCGGAGCATTTACATAGCGGTAGGAACCAGATAGAGAACTCACATTTTGATCTGCAGAAGCCAAGAATGCCCGAAGGGTATTCTGTGCTGCATTCAAATGATCAGAACCACCGATCTCAACAGAATGCTCAGAGCCACCACCGTGGGAGTCTTGGAGCTGCGCTCTTGATACGTCAACCTAAATAGCAATTTCAAAAGGCTAGATGTATAATTTTCTTTGTCAAATCCGTTGGTATACTATAATTTCTCTTATCCTACTACTCTCACAAGGTTCTGAAAATATACCTCTCTAATAGTGGAAATGCTGCGCCCTACTGTTCCAGGAAAATCGACTGCATTCGTTGGGATCCTACCCTCCATAGCATAGTTGACCCTTGGATAGCTGGAACAACATAAAACAAGCACAAAAATCAGAGTGATAAAATATGAGTATTACTTTGTACGCAAGTATAAATACTTCCATACCCAGAAGCAGTTGGAGGAATCTGATAAATCTCTGGTTGACAAGGAACTTTTAGCAATCATTCATAGACATGTCATTTCCACTTATCTAGATTTACTTTGTTATTTTATTATCGTCTTGACAAGAATTCTGGTTCAATGTATGAGCATTTTCATACATAAGCTGTGCATTGCATGCACTGTTATTTCTAAGCAGGTCATATATCATCTTAATTGCCTAGAATTCCATCTAAAAAGCAACCAGGTGCACATAATACATTTTATAATGTATCTAATACTCATACATAAAGGAAGACATCCGTGTTCTGTAATAAATATGAGGTCAAAATGGCAAATATCAGTTGAATCTCATTTGGAGATACCCAATTACTCATTGCTGCAAGCTTCACCTTATGAGAACCATTTCTTGCCATCAACAGAATGCCTCCTTTCACCAGTTCTGCCATAAACAGTGCTTTGAGCATGCATAACTTTTAACTTGATAATCATATGATGGGAATTGGGATAATAATCAAGATATCGACAGTGATGCTCATGGTGTCACATATCTAGAAAGTTCAATTTTATTTAACCTCTCAAGTAATTTGTGACCTTTCAGTTAAACAATAAACTCTACATAAAAAATATAAGTACAAAAGAAGAAAAGTTGTCAATCTCATGAAAAAAAATCAAATAAAACTAACTGCAAAACGAAGGCAATCAAATTAATACTCCTCCGAACCAAGATAAACCAAAAAGTTGGCCTATCATCCTTCGAGTAAACACGATTATCAGCCTGGGTTCTCCTTCTCGTCTCATTTATAACTTACCTCCTTGTCCAAGGAGGCATCAAACTTTATTTGATGGTTCAAGAATCCTAGTAGTGATTATGCCTTTATCGGAATTCACTTGTTCTGTTCTGAAGCTCAAGAATTGTCACAATTATTTGTGATCTGGGATTCCACAAAGCCTGAAAAAGTATGAGCAAGGTGATCCACTGCTGGCATATTCTTGATCCACAGGCACCAGCAAACAGTTGGTGCACAGTACGTTGTCCATGCAAATAACACTTCTAAGCCAATATGAAAAGAAGTTAAAGACAGGAAATGGCCGTGTATCACAAGATGGCATACCTCAAAAGCAGAGACGGGAATTACACTTTCTTCTCAATCCTTTGATGCATCCTGAACATGAATTTTGGCTCCTGTTTCCAGTTGTAATTGTTTTACATTAAAACCACAACAACAACAACAACAAAGCCTCCACCCTTGTCAATAATCCCACCAAATGTCCCAGCTGAACACAAAATTTTCATGAAAACTCAGCTAGAGCTAGAGCTTCACCCCCATGTCCAGGAGGAAAACCATTAAAACCACCATTGGGCAAATCCACGACGGTTTTCATATCCTCCTGTGGCATTGGCGACATAATGTGGAAAGGAGCCCGATTAGACAACATTGGATTTCTAGGTGAAAGAAAGGCATAGGAAAGATTGAAGGAGGCTTGTCCTTCCTAGGATTCTGATGCAGTAGATTAGACACTTCATAAAGTGCCCTCTTTGTCATATTTGGTTTTGCAGATATCTCTCACTTTTGTTGGAAGTTATAGGCACCAAAAAACATATAACAAAGAACTTTTCATGGGAGTTTCATATAAGCATGTTTGAAGATTGAGGTAACCAAGCTACAAAATCATATGCTTTTACAAATGTAAAAAGAAGACATGAAAAATCTCAATACACCCACAAGTTTCCAGCGGCAGACTTCACTGGCACAAAGTGACTGCATACATGGACCACTGGACCTTCATTTGCATACAGACATATTTAGGGTATATATTTTGAGCACCAATAAATTTCCCAGTAACAACATACACAGCTGGGAACACATATTAAATTAAAAACAACAAAAATCATTTCTAACACAAAAATAAGTTTGAAAAAAATTAACTTTAATCAACAGATGAGCTCATACGACGTCATAAGATTTGCTCTATTAGCTCAATCAAAAGTCTAATGCCATCTACATCATATAAAATCTTCTTTTGGAACATTATTTCCTATGAACATGCAAGGAGCACAAAAATTGAAAGAGTACCAGCACCAATTCATCAGTTTCCATAGCACAAATTGGAAGCTGATCTGCAGGAAGGACAACCTACCATATTGTTTGGAACTAGAAGTCTTGTGGTAACAACACTGTTCTTGTTGTCATCATCAAATGTAACTCCACCAAAACGATCTTCCTCTACTATCCTGTCATGAACTTTCAACAGAGCATCCAGGGTAGCACAATGCGGCTCCATTTGATTTCCCTCAGCTAAATTTTCATGGTTTATTTTGTTTGCTTGAAATTTTTGTTGGAGAGCTAAAGATAAGAATTACTCCCTCATCTGAGCCAAGAACAGAATCAGAAACCTAAATGTTTGCTGGGGTCTCCTCTAAGGGCTTTGACTATGTTGCAAACCTTCCCAATAACACCACTGAGCTTTTAGAAGGGCAGAGAATACGATACACAGTGTTGAGCAATTGATAATCCTCTGAAGGTTGCTTACTGCTTGAATCATTCCACTTTCCTTTCTTGTAGTTGTTGTTACCCCCTCTTCTTTTAAACTGGATATTAGGGCGTTTCTTCGAAAAGGTTTCGATTGTTCCCATTCAATCATACCCCTCAATACTAAAAACTAATAACTGAAGCGGACTAAATTTTAAGCAAACCTTAATACCTGGATTAAGCAAAAGAATAAAAAAAGTCGCCATTACTGCGAAAGAGCCGAATGCCACACTAATTTTCTCAAGCAATGAAACTGGGCTCATCATTCCCAATTTCGAACGGAACACTAAATTAAGCAAAAGCTATTGAATTCAGGGATTGCCAATACAAAAGTTAAGGTACCTTGATCTGGTAAAGTATTTCCAACGAGCTAGCAGCCGTAATTCGGGAGCGTTAGGCTTCGAGCCATCGCCCTAGGGTTCCAAAAACCAAACCTAATCAGCTCAAGTACAAAACTGGAAGCAAAAAGGACACACCTTATGGGATAACCAAGCTTATACAACATCAAATTCAAGCGCTGCATTTTCTTTTCTGGGAACTAACCAAAACAAATAATGCAAGAAAAAAGTTGGAAACTTTAGTTAATTCTTAACGACAGGAAACAATGATTTAGATGGAGGGTGATCGGAGAAATGAGAAGAACATAGCACAGGCCAGTCAGTAAAACTGTAAGATTATGGTTTGTGGGGGAAGTTAATGAAAAGTTTTTACCTTTTTACGTACCGGAGCGCGCGCGCGCAGAGAGAGAGAGAGAGAGAAGAGAGAGAGAGAGAAGAGAATGAGAGGTAAAGGGAGTGTGGCTACCGCTTGCCGGGGCGACTGGCGGTCCCCATCTTCGGAGAGGAGAGACATGAATCGAGGTAATGGAGCTTGAAGTCTTGGACTTGCAGAGTTTTGTCTGTATTTTTTTAAGGTGGAAAAGGAGATGGGCTTCGACCCATTTCCGAATTCTTAGGAAAGGGCCAAACTTAACTTCGACCCATTTCAAATTCGACATGTCACAAGAGGTCCTGTGCATGTCCAATTTGAAAAAAATCCAGAAATATTCAAAGATTTTTTGTGGGTTTAGATTTTGCAGTATATACAGAACACAAATTGGTTCATCACGTATCATAATATAAGGAGAGAGACACAAAAAATGTATATTTATCCAATATCCACTTTATTATGATATATACATAATGTACCGACTTGTGTTTTGAGTACATAAAATTTTTTTCTCCCTTTACTGATGTTAATTCCAAATTCTAATGGAGTTGATCCTCGTGGGAATATCTAAATATTTCAATGTTAAAACTTTAAAATAAAGGATAAAATTCAGTGACAGATCCATTCAAAAATAAGAGGAAACTGAGGTGTACTCCGTCAATTATTTCTTCATCGGCTTCTACAAGTTAGGTTATTATTCTTACAAAGACAACACCAAAACTAGATTTCTTCTCGCTCAAGAAAGCCCCAAGAGCATTTAGCTCTGAACTAGTTTGGTATTTTTCATCGTTCCTACATGAAACAATGCAACGACAGACTGTTTTTCAGTCACGACCTTTGCAAACAGATGGCTTTGATGGAAACAGTTTTATGAATAGGGATGCCCATTGTACCATTCAATCATCCAATTCATCCCTAAAATTCTGCAAAAGATTTTGTCAACAATATTCTTTTCGTTTTTTTCTTTTCTTAAAACAATGATCTAATCGGATAAATGGTTGCTCATGGATGATAGAGTATTCGGAAGATAGTCCATCTAGTGAAGAAAAAAAAAATTAGGAAATTGAATCCATCATGATGGAGACTGTTAGGAATCGAGCCCCAGATTAAAAACTCCGTCAAGTTACAGTTAATAGACTGCACGTGAGCTCCAAGTGCAAGGTTAAATTCATCATTTCAGCTCTATTAACCCAGTAAGCGTTCAAATCAGCCTATACAGCGTCCCTCCCCTAGTCTGAAAGACTAAAACGATGAAATCGCTATCTACGTGTGGGTGCTGGAGTTTTTGCTGAAAATTGGGGTGGGAGACTGAGAGGCTCTCGATTTGAAATCGTCGACTCGAATCTAAAAGCTCTGAAGTTCCAACACCAATTACAGAAAACAATAGGCCTTCCTTCCCATTTTAGCTCGCCGATTCATACAGAACCAATTTCATGTAATTTGGCTTTCTTTGTTTTTCTTACAACTTGCATTGTTTGAGTCATTTGATTAACTGGGTTTTATTGTTTCTTTGTTTTGGGTTTCAATGAGTTCAGTTGGAAGAATCGCCACCGAATTATGTTTTGGTTTTGAACTCAAACTTCTCTTACCCAAAAATAAGTCAAATAAGCAAGTAGCCCTCTACCACAGTAGTGAAGTGGAGTGTTACTCTTACACCATGATATGGGTTCGAACCCTGTTGGCTCTCTAATCTAACATTTAATCTAACAAATGTATTGTTTGACAAAAAAAAAAAAAATCAATCAAATAAATATAAACAGAAGAAAGCAGCAGAGAGACAAAATTTGCAGTCAAAATCGTTTTACACCCCTGCAAATCTGTGAGAGTTGAGATGTGGGTTATTAGTGGAGGCAAAATGATATTTTTCCCTTTTGCCAGTGTGAAACAAAAGAGGTGTAATGTGTTAACAGATGTATAGTAACTAATTTAACTTTGCACGTGAGGATCACGGCAACATATTAACGAGACTTAACATAAATTTTAAGTTGGGGTTCAATTCCTAACAATCCTCATTACAAGAGTTTATTTCCTAATTTGTTTACTACATGGACTATTTTCCGAATACTATATAACTACGAAAACCATTTATCCGATTAAGCCTTCCAAACAAAGAAAAAGCAATTGACGTCATAAATATGTCAAACATCAATTTGGCTTCCAAGTGTTATGAGATTTTTTTTTTTCGTACGTATGGCAAAGTCTTGCATTGTACATTAGTCTAGGTTGTTGAATTGTGGCCAAGTGGCCAAGTGGACAACAAAACAAAACCAAAATAAAAAAAGGTGAAAGACATCATGATGAGGAGGCATCATGATTATGTTTGTTGAAAAGGAAAATTGATGGTCATGATGATGTTTTTGAGTTTTTTATTGGGTGCTTTTGTATTGATGAAGTGAGGATACAGAAGTGAGAAAGAGAGAGGAAGGAGTGTGCACCATTTTCTGTTTTAGTAGTCCATCTTTGAGAGAGCAAAGAGAGTTGCAGAGAGCAGAAAAGAAGAAGAAGGTGCTCTTCTTTTTGGTTAGCAATCATCCATCATAGTTATTGTTGTAATAGCTTTGAGCTACATGTATAGAGAAGAAATTATTCATTATATTTCTTTCTCTATTTGTTTCTGTGGTGTGTGAGAGCTATTGGGTGTATTGGGTTATTTGGGTTGTGAGATTACCAACACTTTGTAAACTCCCATTTGGTTGATAGTGGATTATTGGGTGAGCTCCTACTGCTCCGAGAACGTACTCCAGTTACACTGACTGTTGAGGAACCTAGTTAAAATCTTGGTGTCTTTAATATTTTGTTCTTGCATTTCATTTGATATATTTCCTGTGGGTTATCAAGAGTTGGTTCCATAAGGTTTGGTGATGTCCTAGCACAACAATTGGTATCAGAGGTTACAGGTTGTGGTGTCCAGAGATGAAAAAACTTGTAATAAGCAGAGATGTGACATTTGATGAAGAAAGTATGTTCAAAGACTCTGAGAAGAATGTGAAAGATGTCCAATAGGTGGAGCTTGAGAAAGTTGCCTCTGGTACTTCAAATCCTATTTCCGCTGATGTCGAAGCCACTACAAGTGAAGAAGTTGGAGACCATAAGGATGTTGAAGAAGTTGAACTTGAAGATTCTATTCAAGTTGAAGAGCAAGTTTCACCTCAAGAGTCTATTGCCAAGAACAGAAGAAAGAGACAAATTACCAAGCCAGCTCGGTATAGTGACTATGTTTCTTTTGCTCTTCCTATTATCACTGATGAGATTCCATCCAATTTCGAGGAAGCCATTGAGAGTGAAGAGAAGAAGAGGTGGTGCAATGCCATGGGTGATGAAATGAATTCTCTCTTGAAGAACAAGACTTGGGAGTTAGCTAAATTGCCTAAGGGCAAGAAAGCTATCGGTTGCAAATGGGTGTATGCCAAGAAGGAAGATGCTGATGAGAAAAGCAATGTGAGATTTAAAGCAAGATTAGTTGTTAAAGGGTATGCACAAAAGGAGGGCATTGACTACAATGAAATATTTTCTCCGGTTGTGAAACACTCCTCAATTCGTATTATGTTAGCTCTTGTTGCACAATATGATCTTGAGCTTGTGCAACTTGATGTGAAGACGGCTTTCCTACATGGTGATTTGAATGAAGAGATTTATATGTGTCAACCGGATGGGTATATAGTGAAAGGGAAGGAGAATTTGTTTTGCAAATTGAAGAAATCACTTTATGGCTTGAAGCAATCTCCAAGGCAATGGTATTTGAGGTTTGATAAATTTATGAGAGGCCAAAATTATTCTAGAAGTCAATATGATCATTGTGTGTACTTCAAGAAGTTGCAAGATGAGTCTTTCATTTATTTGTTGATATATGTTGATGATATGTTGATTGCCTCAAAGAATGTTGAAGAGATTGAAAAATTGAAGAAGCAAATGAAGAATGAGTTTGAGATGAAGGATCTTGGTGAAGCGAAGAAGATCCTTGGCATGGAGATCACTAGAGATAGAGAGAAGGGTTTGGTCAGTTTGAATCAAAGACAATACCTTGAGAAGTTGATTCGGAAGTTTGGAGTTCATGATTCAACCAAACCGGTTAGTACCCCTTTGGCTCCTCATTTTAAATTGAGTTCTCTACAATGTCCTAAAAATGATAAAGAGAAGCTGCAAATGAAAAATATACCATATGCAAATTTGGTTGGTAGTTTGATGTATGCAATGGTATGCTCTAGACCGGATATTGCTCATGCAGTTGGCATGGTGAGTCAATATATGCATAATTCAGGTAAAGAGCACTGGCAAGCAGCTAAGTGGATATTGAGATATCTCCATGGTACTCGAGATGTTGGTTTATGCTTTGAGAGGGATGACTCTGGTATTGGTCATTTTGCAGTTGGTTATGTTGATTCAGATTATGCAGGTGATCTGGATGGAAGGAAATCTACTACATGCTATGTGTTTACTATGGCTAAATGACCAGTTTGTTGGAGGTCCATTTTGCAGTCGTCTGTTGCCTTGTCTACTACAGAGGCTGAATATATGGCAGTTGCTGAAGCTATAAAGGAGGCCATTTGGACACATGGGCTGATTAGAGATTTGGGGGTTGATCAGAAGCAAGTGGAGGTACATTGTGATAGTCAGAGTGCCATTTATTTGGCTAAGTATCAGGTTCATCATGCGAGGACCAAGCACATAGATGTGCGTTATCACTTTGTTCGTGAAATTGTTGGTGAAGGGGAAATCATTCTCCAGAAGATTCCAACTAAAGACAACCCCGCTGATATGTTGACTAAGGTTGTTGGTGTAGCCAAGTTTGTTCATTGCTTGAACTTGGCTCACATTTTGCCTATATAAAGAAGGCGTTGAGCAGTAGGAGTTTTGGAGCATTTGGCTCGGCATGCGTTGTTCTCTTGCTAGTGTTTGGGAGTGATGTTGTGTGTTAATTGTGTTGGTTGGCTTATCATGGCGTTTTTCGGAACTTGGCCAAGGTGGAGATTGTTGAATTGTGGCCAAGTGGCGAAGTGGACAACAAAACAAAACAACTTTCGGCTAATAAACAAACCAAAATAAAAAAAGGTGAAAGACATCATGATGAGGAGGCATCATGATTATGTTTGTTGAAAAGGAAAATTGATGGTCATGATGATGTTTTTGAGTTTTTTATTGGGTGCTTTTGTATTGATGAAGTGAGGATACAAAAGTGAGAAAGAGAGAGGAAGGAGTGTGCACCATTTTCTGTTTTAGTAGTCCATCTTTGAGAGAGTAAAGAGAGTTGTAGAGAGCAGAAAACTGAGAGCAGAAAAGAAGAAGAAGGTGCTCTTCTTTTTGGTTAGCAATCATCCATCATAGTTATTGTTGTAATAGCTTTGAGCTACATGTATAGAGAAGAAATTATTCATTATATTTCTTTCTCTATTTGTTTCTGTGGTGTGTGAGAGCTATTGGGTGTATTGGGTTATTTGGGTTGTGAGATTACCAACACTTTGTAAACTCCCATTTGGTTGATAGTGGATTATTGGGTGAGCTCCTACTGCTCCGAGGACGTACTCCAGTTACACTGACTGTTGAGGAACCTAGTTAAAATCTTGGTGTCTTTAATATTTTGTTCTTGCATTTCATTTGATATATTTCCTGTGGGTTATCAAGAGTTGGTTCCATAAGGTGTGGTGCTATCCTAGCACAACATAGGTATCATAGTGTAGGTACATTAATTAGTCTCGGTGCCATAGTGGAGGTGCAATGGTGTAGGTACAATATTTTCTTCTTAAGTGCATTAGTTTAGTTATATTACATGTTTAGAGGCAATGAATTAGTCTAGGTATAATAGTGTAGGTACAATCATACTTATGTAGAAATTTCCTAATGATTGAAATATAATATATTTTTAGATGGATTGGCATAGTATTATGAATATAAAATGGTTTAAATTTGGAAGGAGGATGAAAGTAGTTTGGTTGATGCTCAAATATTTAAAGTTCAATCTATTTAAAATAATAAGAAATCAAGCTATAAATGAGATTTTAAAAGTATAATACTTTTTTTTGTCAAACGATAGATTTTGTTAGATTAGTCATCGATGAGATTTGAACCCTCGCCGTCATACAATGGCTCAACACCTTTCTACCAAAAACAGAAATGACTAGACATGTGGGATATGAATGCTAACATAAATACAAGGTTAAAGGTCTAAACATTCTTGAAGTTGGAGTTTATTACCGAATCGGGAACACATGCATTATACATTCTTTAGGCCCAAAAACAGAAAGAGTCTGCAGAAATCCCTTATCATTATTCCTTGAGCAAATTCTAAAAACTTCCTCAAAAGTGACAGAAACAAATATCAATGCAAAATGAGTAAACTGTTTAAGATGAATTGAAGGACCAAGGTTTTCCTTTTTTGTTGATCAAAAATATTCCAGCTCCGTAAGTAGAAATGAAGATCTCAACAAGAAGGGAAAATTGCATCCATACGAAGGAGACAACCGGAACACTAGCAAGTAAAATGATCGGAGCCACTATCCACTCTTTTGCTTCCAGCATAAGAAAAAGGGTTGAAGAAAACGCGATCATCATGGTAACGATAGAGGAGAAAAGGGTGAAAAGGCCTATCATCATCTTTGTTGGCAGTGATTTCAGGAAATCATCTTCAGCATAACGCGAGTTGAGGATTCCTAAGAATGTCACAACTGAAGTTGTAGAAGAAAAAAGTGAAAAGACATCCGCGGCTATGAAAACCATAAATATCCTTTTATTTAAAAACACGGGAAAGCCTGCCTTGATTCCACCAGGAACTGAGAACACTGCAATAAACATAATTGTAACAATAAGAGCAGCTACAACCGTACAAGAAGTTGCAGTTGCTTTCATTGATCTTTCACATTCGTTTGCCAATTCCTTGTGGTTCTTTGTAAATAGGTCACGGGCGGTCATGCCATCTGTATAGTTAACAACTTCAAGAAACTTGGAAGGTACAATTTTCTCCACCTCCTGCATTTCAGTGAATTGAAGAAACTTAAATATCTTTCTTTAATTTATTTTCTTCAAAGGCACTCAAATCTAATCCCAAGTAATTAATATTTTTGTACTCTTACAAATCCTTGATGTATGCCCTTTGACCTTGAATATATATGCTAGGAATCGAGATGGAGACTGTTAGGAATCGAGCCCCAGATTAAAAACTCCGTCAAGTTACAGTTAATAGATTGCACGTGAGCTCCAAGTGCAAGGTTAAATTCATCATTTCAGCTCTATTAACCCGGTAAGCGTTCAAATCAGCCTATAAAGCGTCCCTCCCCTAGTCTGAAAGACTAAAACCATGAAATCGCTATCTACGTGTGGGTGCTGGAGTTTTTGCTGAAAAATGGGGTTGGAGACTGAGAGGCTCTCGAATTGAAATCGTCGACTCAAATCTAAAAGCTCTGAAGTTCCAACACCAATTACAGAAAACGATAGGCCTTCCTTCCCATTTTAGCTCACCGATTCCTGCCGAACCAATTTCATGTAATTTGGCTTTCTTTGTTTTTCTTACAACTTGCATTGTTTGAGTCATTTGATTAATTGGGTTTTATTTTTTCTTTGTTTTGTGTTTCAATGAGTTCAGTTGGAAGAATCGCTACCGAATTATGTTTTGGTTTTGAACTCAAACTTCTCTTACCCAAAAATAAGTCAAAGAAGCAAGTGGCCCTCTACCACAGTGGTGAAGTGGAATGTTGCTCTTACACTATGACGTGGGTTCGAACTCCGTTGGCTCTCTAATCTAACATTTAAGCTAACAAATGTATCGTTTGACCAAAAATAAATAAATCAATCAAAGAAATATAAATGGAAGAAACCAGGAGAGAGACAAAATTTGCAGTCAAAATCGTTTTACACCCCTGCAAATCTGTGAGAGTTGAGATGTGGGTTATTAGGGGAGGCTAAATGAGATTTTTCTGTTTTGTTAGTGTGAAACAGAAAGAGGCGTAATGCGTTAATAGATGTAAAGTGACTAATTAGTGTAGGTACATTAATTAGTCTCGGTGCCATAGTGGAGGTGCAATGGTGTAGGTATAATATTTTCTTCTTAAGTGCATTAGTTTAGTTATATTACATGTTTAGAGGCAATGAATTAGTCTAGGTATAAAAGTGTCGGTACAATCATACTTATGTAGAAATTTCCCAATGATTGAAATATAATATATTTTTAAATGGATCGGCATAGTAATATGAATATAAGAGCAATTCCACCGGAGTGGATTTTGCCCAGGACCCAGGAGAAAAACAGGGCCAGCACCCTGTCAATCAACTCCATCCCTTCATGTTGACTGGTACCCAGCCCGAGCTGGGCAAGAGCCCAGCGCAAAAGAGACTGAGACAGAAGCCGGGGAGTTGGCCTGGCGCGTGCGCTTCACGCAGGCGTGGCGCGAGTGCCCGACAAGGTTTCAGAGCACGGGCCCGCGTGCAGGCGCACTCAGTCCCCCCCCCCCCGAGTTGGCGACGTGGCTTCCCTTATGCCGTTGGATTTCCAACGGCTAGTTTTCTAGACCGTTGGATTTCCAACGGTAAAAAAAAATTTAAATTTTACTTTTAAAATAGACCGTTGGATCAAAGATCAATGGTCCAAGTTTTTTTCACAAAAAGTAAATAAAAAAAAAGCCCAACGGTCATAAAAATGACCGTTGGCCACGTGGCAACTCCCTAGCTCTTGGATTTGAATATTTTTCAAATCCAACGGTTCAGATTAATTAAATATATTAAAATTCATTAAAAATTATTAAAAAATACAGAAAAATTATTAAAAAATACAGAAAATTTTGAAAAATGTTAATTTTTTCCTATAAATACCTAACCCTCATCTTCTACCTTTACACCACATTTCAATATTTTCTACACTTTCTATACTATCTACATTTCAATATTTTCTACATTTCAAGAGAAAAATGTCTTCGTGGAAGCTCATTGAAGATGTTACGTTGTGTGAATGTTGGGTTCACACTACTCATGATCCGATTACGGGTAATGAGATGGATAAGCGAGAAATGTGGAGTAAAATTACGAAAGCGTTTTGCGATGTACATGGAGAAAACGCCAGAACTAGTCAAGGTCTTCAAGGTCGTTGGAAAAAACTAAACGCATCCTTTACTTGTTGGAAAAACGTCATCTCTCATGCTTCCGGTAACCTCCGTAGTGGGACAAGTTTAGCGGATCAGGTGACAATATTTTTATTTATTTATATGCATTCCACTCACATTAATATTTTGATTTATTTAATTTCATATGTAATTTTTATGTTATTTCTTATGTAATTTTTATGTAATTTTTATTTAATTTCTTATGTCATTTTATTTAATTTCTTATGTCATTTTTATGTAATTTATATGCATTCCACCCGTATCAATATTTTGAATTTATTTATTTGTGTTACACCCGCATGTAATTAACACTATATTATCCCACATTTTTATAGACACTACAAGCTCAAGCATTCTACAATTCAAAGAACGGGAACAAATCATTCACTAGATGGGAATGTTGGCAAATTGTCAAAGATTGCCCTAAATACAAAATTGTGGCAACTAGTCCAGAAGTTGTCATGCACGGTATGGGTCTACATAGTTCTCCAGAACCAGACATGGCCGAACAAGAAGCCGACACATTTCAAGACACGGAAGGGATGCCTGAACAAGTGCCCGAGACCTAACCGACTCGTCAGTCCCTCAGGCCCGTAGGTAAAAAGGCGTCAAAGAAAAAAGGTAGTTCTTCCAAGAATGACTACACTAAATATATGGAGGAACTTGCTCGCCAAGGTGAACTGTACATGGCACGAGAAAAGGTTAGAGATGAGGAAAAAGTTGCTGCTATGGCAGCAATATTAGCAGCTACTGAGGCCCGTGATGCGGCGACTGAGAGACAAACAGAAATAGTTAATCGAGAGAACGAGCTGGTTAGAGAAGCACTTCATCGAGAAAATGAATTGCTTCGAGAAGAAAGGATGGCTCAAGCAGATCGTGACACTATGAGCAAGTCTCTAGTAGGACTGTCTCCGAATTCTAAATATTTTTGGACATCGGAAAAAAGAGATGTCATGCGAAGGAGGCGTGCAAGAGATGCGGAAACAAGTCAAGGGGGTTCTAGCTACTTTTGTGACAACCAAGATCCTAGCACCACATATCCTAACTCGAGAGACTTTGTATAATTTTTATGTATTTTTTATGTTTTTTCTTTCTTTTTTCTTTTGAACTTTATTTAATTTCTTATGTCATTTCTTATGTTTTTTTCTTTTTTTAGGTTTGAACTTTATTTAATTTCTTATGTAATTTTTATGTAATTTCTTATGTAATTTTTATGTTATTTCTTATGTAATTTTTAAAACTTTATTTATTTTTATTTAATTTATTATGCAATTTGAATGTAATTCTTTATTTATTTTTAAAACTTTATTTCTTTTGTACTTTATTTAAACACATGAAATAAGATTACATAAACTCACCAAATAAATTTAAAAACAAAACACACTACATAGAATTACATAAACTCACCAAATAAATAGAATTACATAAACTCACCAAATAAACTTAAAAACAAAACACACTACATAGAATTACATAAACTCACCAAATAAACTTAAAAACAAAACACACTATATAGAATTACATAAACTTAAAAAAAAATACAATTTATTCTTCAACCACAAGCCTCATTCTAATTATCTTCGCCTTCATGCAATCCCCATTGGTGCTCAATCAAGTCATTCTGGCGAGTTACGTGCCAGTATGGCTCTTGCACATTAGTGTACCGCTGAACAATCAATTCATTGTAACGTCCATCGCATTCCAACGGCTCGTGTTGCACTGGATCTTCGGTCCCATCATGAGCACAATAGATACGTGTTCTTGAGTTGTTCATGGGATCCGGCTCATATTCATCGACGGCATCATAATCATACTCATCTTCAACAATCATGTTGTGGAGAATAATACACGTCATCATGATGGATCGAAGAGCCTCGACATCAAACATTCTAGCTGCAGCCCTGATAATCGCCCAACGAGCTTGCAGGATACCAAAACAACGCTCGACATCCTTCCTACACCCTTCTTGACATTTTGCAAAGTGTTTTTCCTTTTCAGTCTGTGGATGTGCCACTGTTTTGACAAATGTTGACCACCTTGGGTAAATGCCATCTGCAAGGTAGTATGATCCCTCGTATTGGGTACCATTAATGGTATATGTGCATCTCGGCGAGTTTCCTTGCAGCAGTTCGTCGAACACTGGGGATTGGGCAAGGACATTTAAGTCATTCTGAGCTCCTGGAACACCAAAAAAAGCATGCCAAATCCATGTATCAAATGAAGCCACCGCTTCCAAAATGATGCTTTTGGTTCCTTTTCTGTTGCCATATGCTCCTTGCCACGCACTTGGACAGTTTTTCCAAGTCCAGTGCATGCAGTCCATGCTTCCAATCATGCCAGGGAAGCCTCGCATCTCACCCTTCCTCAGAAGCCTTCGTATGTCCCTTGGCGTGGGTGTCCGGAGGTACTCATTGGTGTAGAGGGCTTCAATTGCAGAGCAAAACCGCATCAGGGACTCCAAAACAGTTGTTTTTCCCATCCTCGCGATCTCATCCACTTGATCTGCAGATGCTCCATATGCAAGCATTCGCAAGGATGCCGTAATTTTTTGCTCGGGAATAAGATGAAAACCATCCTCTTTTTGCACAAAGTATGAATCATGGTTGCAAATATCACTCATGATTTTGTTGAACAAATTTCGTTGCATTCTAAAACGCTGTCTAAAAATATGATCAGGGAATATGCTATTGGGAATAAAATAATCTTCCAATAGATTTTTACCTCGTTTTTCCCTTTTTCTATCGAGGTTTGCAACACGTCTTGGTTTGGCTATCTGACCCACGGCTTCAATGACACGGCGGGAATGTGAGGCCTTCTGCCTTCTATGGTGATCATCCTCATCCTCCTCCATGAAGAAAGCCTCATCTCCACCTCCACTTCCACCTTCCTCGAGATTGGCCAATTCTGCCTGTTGTGCCAACAACCTTTGTTGTTGCTCCTGCAACTGTTTATACACCCTTCTTGAAGAAGACATTGTAATAAAAACTCAAGATTTGAAAACGATGAACAAGGATTCTGAGCTAAAAAGAAGGATTGAGCTTGGTGTGAGGATGGATGTAGGGATGTAGGGTTTATATGGACAAAAAAAGAAAGGATGGGGTTCTGGACAATGCCACGTGGCACTACGTGATTGGTTGAAAATCTTATCGAAATCTTGGCTAAATTATTGTAAACCGGAAGTGACACGTGGCGTGTCGGGATTGGTCGAAAATATTATCGGAAATCTATTCACAAAATAGTACGTTCAGATAATGACATGTGGCATGACGAGATTGGTTAAAAATCCTATCCGAAATTAAAACTATTTTATTTTTTTATTCTTTTAGACAAAATTTAAAAATATTTTAAATGGGCTGGGTGCCAGCGCATTTTGTAGGGATGGAGATCGTTTGTGCCAACGCATTTTTTCACTAGGTGCCAGCGCATTTTTTTAGGGGTGGAGATGCCTTGGCCTATTACTGTTCATTGGAGTCTGTTACTGTTCATTTGAGTGGATAAATGCACTGGGTGCTGGCGCAAAGTCCTTAGGGGTGGAATTGCTCTAAAATGATTTAAATTTGGAAGGAGGATCAAAGTTTAGTTGATGCTCAAATATGTAAAGTTCAATCTATTTAAAATAATAAGAAATCAAGCAATAAATGAGATTCTAAAAGTATAATATTTTTTTTTGTCAAACGATATATTTTGTTAGATTATATGTTAGATTAGTCATCGAAGAGATTTAAACTCACGCCGTCATGCAAGGGCTCTCAACACCTTTCTACCAAAAACAAAAAGGACTAAACATGTGGGATATGAATGCGAACATAAATACAAGGTTAAAGGACTAAACATTCTTGAAGTTGGAGTTTATTACCGAATCCGGAATACATACATTATACATACATTATACATTATACATTCTTTAGGCCCAAAAACAGAAAGAGTTTGCAGAAATCCTTTATCATTATTCTTTAAGCAAATTCTAAAAACTTCCTCAAAAGTGACAGAAACAAATATCAATGCAAAATAAGTAAACTGTTTAAGATTTGAAAGACCAAGGTTTGCCTTTTTTGTTGATAAAAAATATTCCAGCTCCATAAGTAGAAATGAAGATCTCAACAAGAAGGGAAAATTGCATCCATACGAAGGAGACAACCGGAACACTAGCAAGTAAAATGATCGGAGCCACTATCCACTCTTTTGCTTCCAGCATAAGAAAAAGGGTTGAAGAAAACGCGATCATCATGGTAACGATAGAGGAGAAGAGGGTGAAAAGGCCTATTATCATCTTTGTTGGCAGTGATTTACGGAAATCTTCTTCAGCATAACGCGAGTTGAGAATTCCTAAGAATGTCACAACTGAAGTTGTTGAAGAAAAAAGTGAAAAGACATCCGCAATTATAAAGACCATAAATATCCTTTTATTTAAGAACACGGGAAAGCCTGCCTTGCTTCCACCAGGAACTGAGAACACTGCAATAAACATAATTGTAACAATAAGAGCAGCTACAACCGTACAAGAAGTTGCAGTTGCTTTCATTGATCTTTCACATTCATTTGCCAATTCCTTGTGGTTCTTAGTAAATAGGTCACGGGCGGTCATGCCATCTGTATAGTTAACAACTTCAAGAAACTTGGAAGGCACAATTTTCTCGACCTCCTGCATTTCAGTGAATAGAAGAAACTTAAATATCTTTCTTTAATTTATTTTCTTCAAAGGCAATCAAATCTAATCCCAAGTAATTAATATTTTTGTACTCTTACAAATCCTTGATGTATGCCCTTTGACCTTGAATATATATGCTCAAATCTAATCCTAAATAGCCTAACATTCTGAGTTCGTAACAGTAATCAACATTTCATTTTTGTGATTTCATTTTTTTTAGACAGAATGTGATTTCATTTTTAATTTGGTTGTTTCCTATATGAGAGTGCAAATTGCTGTCACAAATAATCAAGTCTAATCAAGTAATACCGATTGACCACGTGAATAGAACTTTATACAGTAAAACCTATTAATTTATAGTGGACCTTGTGGATTGCTTTGGTGGTAAACTCCTTTTTCTTTAACTCACTTCGTCCTATTAAACTCTCATCCATTTAGTCCAGCTTAAAATAGCAATATTGTTTGTAAAATTTTGGTCCCAATTTCAGCCGATCATAAATCTAAATTATCTCCATTTTGTAATAAGCTATATTTCTTTTAGATCACGTCCTAAGAAGAGAGGTGGTGTTTAAATAGAATAATCTCATATGGGTTTGAATGAGGCCACATACTAAAGTCACTTAAGTTTGTATTACTTCGTTATATATAAAGATATTGGTAATGGTGGTGGTCAGTTCACATTTATATTGAGTCTGTCATAATTCTATATCAAATTCGCTGTCAATGAGAGTCAAATTTGAAATTTGATCTACATTATAGTGAAATTTGATTTCTTGATTAGAAAAATATAAAATATATATAGGAAGAAATTCTAACCTTAAACCATTGTAATTCTCTCTGCATTTGCAATGCTGCACATTGGATATGTTTAAGCTGTGCAGGTGGGGATAACCTCGCTGCTGAATGTAGTAACGTATTGTTGAACTTATCTACTCTGGATTCAGTACGAACATTCATGACTCGGATAAAGTCATGGAAAAAGTTATAGACTTTTTCTTGACGGCATTCAATGGAAAACTGAAACATGCCCTTTTCATTTTCGTCATATATCCCTAAAGCTAGGATATTTGCAGTAAACAGCTGACGAAGAAACTCATCATTCCCATGTTCAACAGCCTTGAAGAGTGCTGTTTGTACGGAACTTCCTTGCATTTGTTTAAGGCTTAAACCTTCTGTCATTTTGCACATGCCTTGTAAAACTTCAAGGGATTGGACATGGATTTGTTTCATTTTGTACATGTGATCGATTCCTAGGTTGACATAGAAGAATTATTAATCATTAAGTTTCGAAAAGTACGACCAAAAGAAGTTCTAAGCGATGACTGGATAAATATTAGAGTAAAACTTGAACGAAAAGATTAACAAAGTGTTGAAATGAAGCATTACCGAAAAGTTTACAGAGATTTGAGACGAGCCCTCGCAGTAAAGCCATAACTACAATATTGCAAATACAAAAATGTTTTGCATTAGCTATTCAAAGAATTTGTTAATTAGGTATGATCTAGAAGAAAGTAAAAGATGCGCCTGAGGTCATAACTCTCGTTTTACATGGATAATACATACCTGAGCGAATTATGAGATCCCTTTGATCATTAACCGGGTCATTGGCTTGTTTTGAACATCTATACGAACATCACGGATCCCAGAAGCATGTCGTATGTGTATACCTATCAAGAAAATAAACACATGCCTCTAGTCAATATATAGAACTTTTTTTTAAGTCGAGGGTCTGGACACATTGAAGCCTTTCTTTTACTGTATAAATATTTATTTCTGTGAAAAGAGAAACTAAGGTGCATACCCAAAATAAATGATTAATGGACACTGATACCGATAAAAGTACACATTAAATTTTTAACACTTATTTTTAGACACTAAAAAATTAACTCTAAGAGAGAAAATAACTTACACTAAAATATTTGAGCAAGACCCAAAACCAAAATTCTAATTTAACTCGTAACCTTAAACCTTAACTGCCACCACATATTGAAGTTGTGCCGCTATAGAACTCATCGCATCTCACCTTAAAAAAACTTGTGAAACAATTGAGGGATCTGTGAACTCGAACTTGAAACACGTTTGTATATGAGTACATCAAATATAAGTTTGTCTTATTTGTCTATTTGTATGCAAGGGACTTACCGGCGAAGACAAACATAAGAGCCATTTAGGTTTTGGCGCATTTGTTTTACTATTTCTTGACTTAAACTAGTGAAGAAAAGCATAGTGTGGAGACATAAATTAATCACATCCAAACATAGTATGTCAAGTGGATTATAAGCTCAATTTGACATAACTACCTCGGATATCGTGAGAAACCCCCATCTCCATTCTAATGGGTTAAGCACACCAACCCCTCCTACGGACCGGCAAATGCCACAACTATCGGGCCCTAACCCCCGATTCTTGGCAAGCTAGCTAGCAAGCATTTTGTTTTTCTTCAAGGGACAGGGTTGTCGACCCCTTGCACCTCAGCCCTATATGAAGTTGATGTTCAATCATAAAATTAATTGACAATATAGGGAGTAACCCAATTCATTATAAGTCCTTGCAATGTTTCTCTTTTCACCAATGTGGGATTCTTTACCTTCACATCATCACATAGCCCCTTACGGGTGATTAACTTTTGAACCAAATACATGGATAACACAAATTAGGTGATATTGAGCACGTGTGACCATTGGGCTTCATAACCTATTGGTGTCTAAGCAGGCATGGGAAGGGAGACTCATTGACTTGCCTAAGCCCGCTACGGCCTACTAGTAGACGATTTATGGACCTCTTCCACTATAAGTAGCCAAGTCATACAAGGAAATTGGTTTATCACAAACTCTATTTAGAACTCTCCAGTGAATTTTAGTTTTTCTCAAACACTTTTTGACTTCGACATCGTAGACATAAATCTCCATCCAGACATAGAATGCATTTTATTGTTTTAATTTTTTTTCATATTAAGTATAAAATATACAAAAAAAAAATCAGGTTTTGAGATAAATCAAGGGGTGTGCTATCCACACACCCCATTTTACTTCTCACATACCCCTTGATAATTTCTGTCCGTTGATCTTCTTCAATTCATCCGATCCGACGGCCGAAAATTAAAAAGGTGTGTGAGAAGTAAAATGAGGTGTGTGGATATCACACCCCTAAATCAAATTGTGGGAATCGTGTGTAGGAAATATCTTATTGAAAAACGGGCCAACGCCCACCCAACTAGAGGGACAGAGAAATTAATAAGGTATAAAATTCATCATAGAATAAAGAATGTAGTTACTAACTGTTATAGATCCATTGTTGCCAGAATCTGAGACGCGTTCCACTTAAAAAGAGAGAGGGCATACAAGCCAATTCCTGTAAAGGTGTTTTCCCAGTAGAGTTTGTGGCAAATGCCAAGTTTGAACAACGCTGAATTAAATCCAATGCAATATCTACAATAGGGAAAAAAGAAGAAGAAGAAGAATTATATACATGAAGAAAAAAAGGAAAGTAATCAATATTTGTTAGGGAACATGCTATTTAAACACATTCTTAAATACATGTGAGTTCTATAAATAATGAAACGGCCCACCTTAGTTATAGTGTGTCAGAAAATGTGTGCGAATATTGTATCTAAAACATTTATGTACCCAGTTCTTTGGAGCTAAAACAGTGGGAAATAAGATCAGCACCAGTCTGACAGTTATCTTGGGTCGACGTCAAAGCTTCCAATGGAGTAACTGAATAGAGATAGCGAGCCAATCCCCAATGGCCGCCATGACAAGCCATGATTAGTGGGATCATATTCTGGAGATTGCATGGTATGCAAAGTAATCTCTTGTTCTTTTCGATTATGCATCTAGCCACTTCGGGTACTATTAGCGTAGCTAAAGTTATAGCTGTGACACCATTAGCGTCTTCTATTTCCAAGTCTTGCTCTGTCATCAACTCCACTAGTTCTTTCGCCATATATTCGTTTTCCATTGAAACTGCCATGTGAAGAGCTGTCGAGCCTGATAATGAACCTCTTTCTCTGATTGCGTCGGGATGCTTAGTAAGATACTTCTTTGCAGAACTCCAGTCACCTTTTGCAACAGCATCAATCAAGGGTTGATGGTGGGGGAACTCACTGAAGTCGCCGTTACTTTTATAATACTCTGTCAAGTAATATTATTTATTATTTGTTAACTGAACATCAAGAATTTGGGGACGAATTATACATGATGTTGAAATAAAAGAGAACTGAATGAAATAAAATTAAACAAAACAATAAAGATTCATGCATGCTGCAGTAGATATCACATAATATTACCACGTACGTACCCTCATTCCGCTTCAGACCGGTATTCAGCTCTTCATCCTCTGCATCGATCACGCATGGTGACTTTATTAGAAGAAGAAAACTAAATCTTAATAGTTATAATATTGGATTTAACTTGGAAAGGAGACATGTAGTACGTGCGTACACGTACCTGTGTTTTCCAAGGCTTGATCGGCCGGCTTCAACTGTTCAGCCAAAGTATCCCAGGCGACTTTGGCCGAGCTAATGCACCGGATAATAAAATAAGTATCATCCCCGCAACAAGTTTGGATTGCATGTAAAACCTTGGCATTATTCTTCCTCCAAACCATAAATTCCGCTTCACCATCTTCTCGTCTAGGAGGTTCAAAGGTCTCTTCCACAACCTCCCAAAGATCTTCAGCCAACAAGTAGGTTTTAAAGTGGAAACTCCAATCTTCATAATTATCATGACTAAGAACTTTAAGATTAGCAATTACACTAGAAACAACTGTAGCTGCCATGTTTAATCTGCAAATGTAATCAATTATCCAAAGTGATATTAGGTCGATTAATTAAGAAAATAATGAAACAAAACAATATAACTAACTCACTCTGTTCGATCGAGTAGTGGCAATCTTCAAAAATAAGTAAGCTGCAACTATTATCCAATGAGCTTAAGTAAATTCCCACTCTGTGCACTTAGAGTGACCACACTTCTGGTGTATATATAGATGTATAGCAAATGAGCAATGAAAAAGGACAAGAGACTCGGAAGACTATGCCACCAAATACTCCATTAATTCGAGGCAGATTCTCTGTCCTCCCACTTTTCGTGCCCTCTCCTGCCCTTCTGTTTTGTGTGGTCACGGTTAAGTCACGTCAACATTTAATATTATTTTTTTATAAAGATAATAAGACAAAAATGAATAGTAATATAAAATGTTGACGTGGCTTAACCGTGACCACACAAACAGAAGGGCACGGGAAGTGGGAAGGCAGAGAATCTGCCACCCCATTAATTTCCTAGTCGGTGTTAACTACGCGAATTCAATAATGGGAGAGTTCTATCCCTAGGAGAAATTTTTCATTGTGACTGGAACACGGGTGGTACACCACGTGTTTTTATATATTTCGTAGTGTAGATACTATTGTTTGTTAATTTTTTTTAATTAAATTTATAAAAACAGTCAGGTTATAATACAAAATAATCTTATTTACGCCCTTTTAAATCTAAATGCCCCAAGCAGTTTCGTATGGCGGTATGTAGATAGAAGCCTCTCCCGTTAATTATTGAAGACAAGAAGTGTATGGCTGAAACTAGGGATAGAAAGATTTTCCAGTGTGACCGGAACACGGATTTGGTACATCACGTATTACTATACAAATGGTGGGATATGTGTGTTAAAAAATTAATAACTTAAAAAATAAAATTTCTCACCACTTATATAAAAACACGTGATGTACCACCCGTGTTCCGGTCACAATAAAAAATTTCTCCTAGGAATAGTACTCTCCCATTATTGAATGCCCTTGCCCAAGATTTCAACCGGAACACGGGCGGTATCTAATTTTACTCTAAAATTTAAAATTTATTATCACATCATATTAAATGCCCTTGCCCACTTTTATTGTTTTTTTATTTTCTTTCTAAAATTCCTACTTTAATATCAATTAAGGCTTAAAAATAGGAATTTTGATTTCTACAAATCAATTTAGAATTTTAAAATGGAAGATTTTTAAATAACATTTTGTTAATGAGAAATAAACTGTATATTAAAATTTCTACAGATAATGCACAAAACCAAACAAATGTATTAATATGTTGACACATTAAACAATATACTATAACAACAACAAGTAGTTTAGTGGTAAGGGCGCAAACTGCGGCTTCCCAATAAACAAAAAAATATGGGAGGTCCCAGATTCGATGCTCCGAGTTGGTGAGTTTGTGTGACTGTGGTCATGGTCAGGGTGAAATTACTAGCCTCTCCGGGCCCGAAAATGGTGGACAATCGTGGTTTGCCACTAGTTGTCCCCCTTTTATATGGGAGAAAAATAAACAATATACTATAAAGGTGTATAAATATAGGTGTATAAATATAGGTACATAAATATATATTCATGTACATATATGCATATATAGGTACACATATATACATAGGTTCATATGTAGAGGTATACAAATGTGTATATAAGTGCATATATATTGGTACATGTGTATACAAATGTGTATATAAGTGCATATATATTGCTACCTCTACATCCCCAATTACCATAACCCACATTAACACCACCACCATTATCGCTACCACCAACACCACAACCATCACCACAATCACCTATGACTGCAAGTCTGCAACCACCACATCAAACATGGCTAACAAGAAGAATCATAAGTATAAAGTGGAGTTGGAATTTTTTTTTTTTTTTTAAGATTGAAGTGCATACATTATTAGAAAACACACACACACACACAAATATTAAAAAATTATCTTAGGAGTTCCTAGAAATTTTTTATTCTAAGTTCCTAGAAATTTTTTATTCTAACCATTGCTCTTTAATTTAGGAAATTAAGTGATTACGAACTAATAGAAAAAAAATTTATTTGTCGATTAGTGTAGAATATCATTTGAAATTAAAAAAAAATTAATAATGAAAGTGAGAAGCTCCTCTTACTCCTCAAACGTCAAAAACTCAATGCAATTTTGCTATCCTAAGTGCATAGTAAGGTGCATGACGTCGAGTGACTAGAGAGAGATTCCCAACTCCAAATCTAAATTATATCCCACGTGAACTTGATGATATTTTTTAGGTAAAAGTTTTGACATGTACGAGAAACACAACACTAGCTTTAACACCTCACGGTTCCACCTTGTCAAAACGTACTACGCTATACCTGAACAGTCCACATCAGACGCGGTTTTTTTGGACACTCACTAGTCTCCGCTAATAGAATTACCGACAACAGACACCGTTGTTTTGGGCACACTCTCTATTCACCACTACTAGAATCTCCACAACAGTAATCAGGCATAGTTTTTCTTGGCCATACTCAATAATGGTACCGTCATGTACCCAACAACGGCACAGACAATGTGGTTGATTGATTCGGTGTCGGTTAAAAAATCAAATATGAGACCACCATTGCAATGATTATTTTGCATTCACACTAAATGCAGGTTGGTGTTTTTCTTGGACCATCTTCAATCATTGGCCTAAAACTTAAAATTTTTAACCTAAAAAATTTAGGTTTTAATTCAGAAACAACTTGTCTGCTCCAACCCTTATAACTTAAATTTTTTTAACCCGAAATTATTAAAGAATAAATTTAGGCTAATTTTTTTCTTTTAAATACACTATCCTAATTTAATTTTTTTCTTTTAAGTACCCAAAAAATTATATACACTATCATAATTTAATTTTATGAACATTTTAACCTAAAAATATTTAGATTCCAATAAATATTGAAAAATCACTAAATTTGGGTGAATTTTGAGTTAAATAATTTTAGCATTTGGATTTAAATTTGGGCCGTTATATATATATATATATATATATTACCGCTAGATTTGATTATATTCGATTTCAGCCGTTGGATTCAATAAATCCTGAGGGACATGCCCATGTGGGTGGGGTCCTGCTAGGGGTGCCCACACCATTTTCTAGGCTAAATCCTGGGCTATTTCTGGCTTTGTTTTAGGTTTTAGGTTTTAGGTCCAATTTTCCACTTGGGTTGGGTTAGATTTAGGAGGGGAATAGAAGGGGAAAAATAGGTTATAGGTCAGAGTTGAAGATGGTTATTTTTTGTTTTCCATCTTTTTCTTTCTTCTTTGCCCACCACAAAACGATGGCCACTCAAAATCCACGAATCACAATTCATATATTTTCTGTCTGAATGAACGAGTGGTGTCTGCAATCTGCATCAAGCATGATTCTCAATTCATATACCTTTTCAGAAAGCCAGTGTTTACTGTGCACATAGTTTCCAATGATTGATAATTTTCTTTTAAAATGGATATTAGGGCGCCTCTTGCAAAATTTATGCTTGTTCTCATCCATAATTAAGTTAAATTTTGCATATTGAAGATTGTAATTAAATGACGAACATAGATCATAGCTAGTAAAGTATTTTGAACGAGCTAGTGGCGAAGCAGCCAGTAATTTGTTGGGTGTTCAGCTTCAATCCCGCACCCTAGCTAGGATCCCGAAACCAAAGCATACACAGCTCAGATAAATGGAAGCAAAAAGGAAGCCCTTAGAGCATTTTTATCAATTTTGAAAGATTTGAGTCTAGGAATGGGGTTGGGGCAAAACCATCGGGATCCTCTTGACTCACTAATGTGAGCCGTTGGATTTTGATCCAACAGCTACAAACATAGGATTTTTTGAATAATGAACTGCTTTAGCCTCTCAAAAACCACTCTCCATGCACCCATTTTGAATAGTAAGCAATTGTTATTTACAATTATTATTACTTTTCATGTTTGATTTAATAATTTAATAATTATTCAACGAAAAATGATTAATTATAAAATAAGCCCATATTTTTATTTTCGCTAAATAATATTATTTATGAATGAATAGTGGTTTCAGTTTCTAGTTTCAAGATCATGATATCTTTTTTAAAAATGAACGATAAGACGAGTCAAACTCATCACATTCGTCACGACTGGAAAGATGGATTTTGGCATTTTAACTTCGTTTAGAGAGTTAAAAACAACTTTTTATTTTATTTTATGCATATTTCATGTACTTTTATAAACTCACATCATTGATTTCTAATAACATTTTTAGTGACTATGATTTGTACTATGTATCCATATCTATTCAGAAATCTTCTTGAGATTTTGAATAAGATTGGAACGTAGAAAAAAATGATATTTTAATAGAAGTTTTGGTGTGAGGAGTGAAGAAAATGATTTAATATTTATAAAAAAAAGTATTCATATACTTTTTTTTATTTTTTATTTTATTTTATTTCAAAAAAAAATTGTGACCGTTAGATTGAAGTGTGAAGATTGGTATTTACTATATATATTTACACATTGATAGTTTACGTATTTTTATCAAATTTTTATGTATTAATTTTGTACATAAATGTTTGAAACTTCCACACATCCTCCTATATACGTGCATTACATTTTACTTCTTGTCATCAAATTGGATTGGTTATCCATCCGTAAAACCCCATCTCCAAACTGAGCAAGATGGACACTTGTACTGTTGTACACTCAACTTGTCGAACTCTATTTCATTTAGCCATGTGTCCATGTCCATCCAAAATTGTACCACCTATATTACTTGGCCAACTCTCTTTTGGTTGGATAGATATATGTGCAAGTTAATATTCATCCTTTATTGTATTTTAACTTAGTTCCTTAACTCCTAGTGGCCGACTTTATGTGACAACGAAAATCTTTTTTGTTTAGATGAAAGATGTTAACCATTCAATTCTTAAGTTTGTTTTTTTTCCTTTTTCCTTCATACAAATGCATATGTGTGTAAAATAGTAGTCAAAAAGTAATTGTTGTGCATCTGATATATCACATTTCAGTGCATCTTAATTATGTAACAAATCAAATGAAAATACTGTAATCCACAATAATTACTAAATATTTCTCATCAAATTTTAAAATAGATCACCAAGCTGCAAGGTACAACCATTCGCCGTATGTTTATCAGGTTTTCTTTTTTCTAACTTTTGATGTCTGTACGTACCTACTTCGCGTAGTTGTTAATTCTGCCTTGG